TTATTAATCTTTTTGTCAAACACTCATTGATCACATAGAATCATCATATCTGAGGTCCTTTTAACTAGCCACCATGCACCAATCTGCTTGAGGCAGTTAATCTCCTTAACACAGACATGGAAGTAATATTTCCAATCTGCAGATGCTCAAGCCCAGGTGAGGTTCTTCAGAACTGACAAACTGGCAATCTTGGAGTCTGTGGAGATGTCAGTTGAATTGTTGGTGAAATCCCTCACTGAGGCCTCCCTCACTGAAGTAATATTCTCAGTGAGCATTGGAGAATCCTTCATCTCTAAAGTGGACCCTGGAAGGGCAGTAGTGTTCTGCATCAAAAATGTCAGAATTCACACAGTAATCTCATAGTCTATTCATCAATTATTTGTAGAGTGTAGAAATACTGAAGGGACAGATAGAAACTTCCTGTCCACCATGAAATTGTCTGTTGATAAATCACATTGAGTGGAGAGGATCACAACTGCAGCCATGCAGGCAGTGGAAGACAGGTTCTTGACACCTCACTCAGGCGGGGCCAGAGGATTCATCAAATGAAGATCTTCTTGAAATATCACATCTTTTGACATGTAAAGGTGACTGTTAGAAGGATTGACCAATCTATAATTAGTAAAGCCATCATAGCCTGTAAATATAAGCTCCTGTGATCATGAGGCCATCTTCATATTTGGCTTGAGCACTATTTTTAAATAAGTCTTGCACCCTCATCAGTGAATCCCACATGCAGAGGGCAGGGCCCTGAGCCAAGCTTCATATGGAGTAATCAGCTTCAGATTCAGATCCTCTACACTGTTATAGAGCTTGACTGACATTGGCATAAGGTTAAGCATTTCAGTCATCACAATTATTGCCTCACCCCACATCTGAGGGGAAGAGGAGAAATCTATTAATAATGTTTGGGCTTTTTCAATAATCAGGCTAATAGAATGTTCAGACACACCATTTTGCTGCAGAGTGTGGGATGAGATTAGTTCTCATTTAATATCCTCACTCATCATATAGATGGCTGCAGTGTTTGAATTCAACTCACTGCAGTCAGAGTGAATAATTGCAACATCATGATTGAGCAGATTCTTCATAAATTGGTTGAAGGTTCATATATATTTTAGAGTCTCATTGTGGCACTTCAATAGGAAGGTCCACTGCATTCATGTGACATCATCAGTGATCATCATCATGAGCTTCTTACCTGAATAAGATGATGTATCTTCTTCATTATCAAGTGTTTCTCCACCCCCAAATAGGTCCACCCAGATCTTAAGATCTTTGTGGATGGCATGGTGTAGCAGGATGTTTTTATAACTTGCACATTTATGCTTGGCTTTAATGCACATGGTGCAGAACAAGAGCTTCTTCAGGCTGATGATGGTAATTCTGAAACAGGGCTCCCATGACATTTTAATTAGATTCTTCTCATCAATATGGCTCAATTGTCAGTGCTACTCATCAATCAGTAGCTGCTTCAGCATAATGGTGGGTAGTCAGGTTGGTGAGGACAAAATGAAGGTATCAGTATTCAGATCCTTCAGGTTAATTAGCTGCTCCACATCATCATGATTGAAAAGACTCAGTGATGCAGTGTTCAGATCATAATTCATTGAAATCATCCTGGGCTTTGAGATCATCAAGTATGCCAGTGATCCAAGCTCCAGATCATTCATAATACCCTCAAACATAGAAGAGGTGTCAGATAGAACATATATATTATTGGAATTCAAATTCACATAGAAGATGTCATTTCCTGTAGATGCTATTATCTCAAAGTAATTTCTGATATCCACCTGCAGATCACAGTGAATATAGCCCTGGCACTCCAATAGACCAGTGGATATGAGGTTGGCAGATAAGCCTGGCACCAAATAGATGTGATCAAATTCAATTAATCTTTCCCTGACTGAGATGGAGGCAACCCTGATCTCTTGAACCTTCAAAGTAGCCTTATTGATCACTTGAATCATAGAGCCACCAACCTCTGTTATTTGAGAAAATCATGATTGATCACATGCAATATAACATTCAGCCCCACTATCTCATATGATGAGTGAGTTGATGATTGGTTCAGCAGAGTACACAGGCACCCCAATGACCTGCACTAGATTCATCATTTGAAATGTCTCAGAGCTGTCATTTGCAGTTGATGAGGTCTTTTTGCTCTCACTACTCTTCTTATTATTATATTTTTCTATTCTCACTGTGTTGGTGATCCTTCATTCTTCAGGGGTGCTATCTGGATTGACTGCTCAGCAGAGCCCACCATGACAATGCTTGCATTTCAGGCAGATTGAGAGGTTGAAATTTGAATGTCTGCTCATTCAATAGCCTCCACATCCCCTGGGTCAGCTCCCATAGGCTGAATTATTTTGGACATTGCTGCTGTTATTGGAACCCACAGCCACATTTTCAGCCTGAGTCACATTGGCTGAAGAATTAGCTGCCTGAGTGGCCTTCTTTGCCTCTTTGGGAGGGTTCAATCAAGAGTGTATTTCCTTCATGATTGAATGAACATTCAACATGACAGACTTCAATTTGGACTCTTGTACCTCCTCAATTTTCTTTTGCACATAGTTTCATCATATATTGGGAAGTGCAGAATAGAACATGTGAAATACCATGTCATTTGACAGTAAAATATCAAGTATTTCCAATTTCATAATAATGTCATTGAACTTATCAAAAAATGTGTGTATGTCAGTGACTTGGACATCACTCATTGATGTAAATACCAGGACTGCTTCCCTGCAGAGCTGTGTTCTCAGAATGGAGAACTCTTTCTCAATCACATGTCAAAGAGAATAAGTGATTCTGCCCTCATCATACTTATTAAAATGAGGCCTAATGCTGGCTGCCAACGCGTTTGAAATGAATGTGTAAAGCCAGTGATTTTTGACCTCTCAAAAAGAAGCTCATTCAGGGTCTTCATCAGGGCTTTTGACTTGCTTGTCCTCCAATATAACCCAGCATTGAGTGTCAATTAGCTTGGTCTTCATATTCACATGTCAGAAGAGGTAATTCAAAGGTCCAATCAGAGTGTTTGACTTGATGACATACTTAGTGTTCTGTTTGAACTGGCTGATTGCCTTGCCAACACAGCTATCCAGATCATAGAGGTTATATTGCATTCAGGACCTTAAGTTCAGATCTCATGCTGATGATTGACCTGACAGTGGATTTGCAGGCATCACAGCCCTGTCATTCTGAGTGCAGAGCCTCTCCAATTGAAGTTGAAGCTGCAATTCTTTGCACCTCTCTTTTTGAAGTTCTAAATCAATCTTTTGATGTTTGAGATTCAATCTCCTCAGTTGCAATTCTTCAGAATCAGTTGCTGGCAGCAGGTTAGGAGTCACTGCAGGTGTCTTCACCTCATCTTCTGAAGAAGTCAGATCAGCATATTCAACACAACATAGGCAGACCGGCCTCATCATGATAGGGGCTGTAATCAGCCCAGCTTGCTGATTGAGTGTTTCAGGGGGTTCAATATTGGAACTCTTGAATGCCCCTGAGGAGGTCAGTGAGCTCAGGCCCCCCTGGTCATTTTCAGATCAGTCAGATTGACTGAATTGGCTTGATTGTGACTGTGAGTGAGTCATCATACATTCCACCATATCATATTAATTTTCTTTATAATGGAGTAATCTTATTCAGTGAGATTCTTGCCTATAAGCTTGATTGAGTGGATTGGCGCATTCTTGTGTGATCAGTCACTGAAAAATTAGCAAGTTGCAGATTTTTTCACCTGCTAAGTGAACAGATTGAACACAGAAAAAAAAAAAATAATATAAGAGTGCACCAAATCAATCAATTGACATAAAATAAGACAATATTATATTGAATGAAGCAAGTAGTGATTAATATACACTATATTTGACAAGAATTCCCTGAATTGGCAGTTATTTGCGCAAAACGGGTCTCATAACCTGTGAAGGATAGATTGCTTGATTGATTATGAAGCGATTGCTAGCTATGCGGAAGTTATATACAGTGCAGATTACGTAAGAAGGCGGATAGACCTGACAACATTATCTTGAATCTACTCTGCAGTCAGTGAGCAATTATTTCTGTTCATATGAGCTATTCACTCTTTTAATGTGTCCTCCTGGCTCTTGCTAAGCTTCTTGTTCAGTGCAGTCTTTACATTGTATGTTTTTTTTCCATTGGTTCTTGCTCAAAAATATTGATAAGAAATGTTAAATTTACATGCCAGAGATAGGATTTTCTGTTTTTGATTATCATTATAAACTTCAATGGTGCTCTGAATACATTTTTCAAGATCATCTATCTTATTGGTCATGGTGATGGTGATATATTAATATTTGAAGATTGATTAATGAAGAAGTTGATATTTTTATCATTATACTGTTTTTATTGTTACACTGTGGCGCACCCACATCAGGTGTGGGTGCGCCGGGCATGATTAGTATAGAAGGTCTCAACATCACATCAATAATCATTAAGTCTATTTTTTTTTTTTTCTTTTTGTCTGAATCTCAACACTTACAGAAGATACACTAATTCTTACTCTTATAAATTCTGAAGCTCAGATGAGTTTTATCAGTGAATTTTAAGTCAAATCATATAATTTATAATCAACAAAGTATACATCATGCAAAATAGAGAGATTTGATGATCATCAAACACACTCATTTAAAATCATCAATTTAGAGATAGAAGTCTTATAAACCAACTATTATAGTATCATAATCTAAGTTCTTACACCTAGGGCAATGTATATTCCTCTATGTAACTAGTGGCAGGTCCGGGGGCAGAAATGGAATGACAAGCCGGTACACGCATAGTAGATCCACTCCATAAAAACGTCACCTCATCTGACTTCAGTATCACACTGGTATTTCTATGTCATGGCGGTCATCACCTACTTGCCTTGACCACTTCAATCATACCTCCTGCCAGGTCGAGAAAGGAGAGTGTGATTTTAGCCTTGTTCCAGTGTCACGAGCATCACATCGATCTTACGCCTCGGAGTGCTCGTTATGCCTCGGATTGCTCGTACGCCTCGGATCGATCGTATGCCTCGGATTCCTGCGGATCGCCACGGCCGTTATGCCTCGCTTATGATCAAGCTCGCGTACGCCCACGGACGTATATATATTTCATTCTTTTCTCGCTGTTTTCTCTCTTCTTCTTCTTCTGAGGAGAGTCATCATATAGATTAGCTAGTCATTACGAATACTACTATCTTATGCCTGCTACGTTCTGACTCTCGTCATATCCAGGCAAGGCAAAACTTGGTGTCCAAGAGCGCGATGGTGAATCAACCCCCACTTCACGAATGTGGCTAATAGCCAATCTGATTTGACGCGGAGAAATGCTTCGGCGGCGGCCAAATCGCAGTACGGATGCAGAGAGCGGTATTCAGGACCCAGTGGACAGCCGCAGGCACATCACCTCAGAATGACATCTCCAGTGAGGCTGATGAAGGCATTATTAATCGCGAAAATCACATCGTAGGGAAAGCGGCCTTTGAATGTTTAAGAGAGGCGACAACTGTCTGTGTCGTCTCCATTGCAATGGTGCAGCCGGGCATATTGTCAACAATGACCACTATTTGAAATACGGCACCGGCGCTCTGGAGACAGCCATCAATCAAAGCACCGTTATCCAAACAGCCTTGGAAGACGGAGACCCGCTGCTGGTCGGCCGCTACTAGACAGAGCCGGAAGAGCTTTTCTTGCTACCGATGGAAACGGAATTGCACCGCTGAGCGAACAAAGCCGGCAATCAGGGTACATCTAAAAGAGAATAGACATTCATTTCGATATGCACAACCAACCGTTAAAAAAAAGGGAGAAAATTAAGTTGAAACAAACAAGAAGTAAGATATTCAACACTTCATTCAACGCGCTATTTTTCCCTTTCTCTTTTCCCTTGACTTTCCCCTTTGACCTTTGCCTCGTTTCTTGTCGCTAATAATCCCAAATGCCTTCCTATGCCATGTTGGGGGCCACAAGCAGTTCTGACGGACCATCATCCATGTAAATACTCCTTATATCGAACAAACCACAATATCCGAGCGTAGAAAGGTCGGTAGAAAGAGGTCGACAGGAAGAGGGGTAAATATATGTACTACTTATCATTCGGTACACTTTGGCATTGAAAGCCATCATGTCTTCTCATACGATTTCTCAGAATACTCCTACAACTTCCTTTCCGCATCCGAGACACCTGGTACAAACCGTATTCGAATCTTAACAAAAGGGAGTGCAGATGTGTCGGAACTGCTGATAATCAAGAATGTGAGATATAACAGATTTTGATGCGGTGGGGTTTCATAGTAAGCTTGGCCTCGAACTCTTTTAGTTTACCTGTATAAATGCGTAGAATACGCATATATCCAGCCTGATAAATATCTCAACTCTTTAAGACAGACCAAACTCTCCACCACCTGCTCGCTGAGATCCAGGCCATGATACGATCTCAACAAGGGGTACCAAGCACTGATGCAATACAGACCGGCTTCTGTGGTGTTGAAACTCAAGGACCAAGAGTTCTTCAAGAGATGCCTGGCCATCTGTCTTATTACGATATTTTTGTTCGCTTTTCCCAGGACGAAATCTCCGAATGGGCCATTCTTGACGTGGTCAACGAGTATCTTTTTAAGGCAATGATGTTTTCTGATGATATATTGGGCCGTATGCATTTTGGTAGGAATTTCGATCTGGCGCCTTTTCTCTCTTGAAAAGGACAAAAACAATGAACTTGCTAATCGCAGGATTTCTACATCAAATTATTTATCTGAGATGCACCATGGAACTCAACCAGCATCTTCTGGTGGCCGAAGCCCTGGTGGCAAGTTGTATGCACGATGACTGGCCACATACATTTCCTATTCCTCATTGGAATCTTGCGCAATCCCGTACAAAGAGCACCTTCAAGTCCATTCTCGAAATTATAAATGATCTGTACTGTGATCCTGTGATCAAAAACGACGTTCAAACGTTAGATCTTCTGAATAAAATTAGCAACGGTCTCCTAGCTCAGATGCGCGGGGCATGATTCCTTACTAAGTATTGAGTGCAGCCATTAGGGGAGGAACTGCAGAGGCAGACAACTCAGATGATCCACACTTGTGCATATATGATTGGGGAGGCTCAACAGGCTGGGAAGGTTCAAATGCTTGATTTTGTGCTTTTGCATACTCTTACGCTCTCAATATTCTATCCCACATTTACGGCTCAGGACTGGATCACCCGTGAGAACAAGGCTCGTCTGCTGAATTTCAAAGCCTGAGGAGATATTGCCATGTACGCAGGCTACGGATGTCCTACTCTCTACGCAGAAAGAATCACACGATATATTCTCCCAAGAAGCCTAGACACGGTTGGAATGATTTGGCACATCGTGTGAGCGAGGACGACGGATACATGTCCAAGATCATCCATTGCTTTATGCAGAGAGCTTTGCCAAATCCTCCTGCAGGATTCCCCATACAGAAGCCGGATTTAATCAAAATTGCACATCTCGGGCTGGATTCTGTTGAAAGAATGCTCGAGCCAGGCGAATACAGGTGCCGGAGAAGATCCGCCGAGAGGTTGGAGAGATGGGCCAAGATGAAGAGACATTCCGGGTATTGGTTCGTTGGGGTTTGATGGTGCGGAGTGGATGGGGCTTGGGACGAGTTCCCAGATCTGCCTGTGTCATAACAATTGTTATATAATGAATACTAGCTACTTTGTGGTAATTCTTACCATGGAATCTTGCATGAAAATGCCGTTTCCGACTCGTCAAATCTCCTATGAAGCATGATGCTTCTCAACCATCAAATCTCATCTGATTTTATTTCCTAAGTCTTTTCACAGCGTTCAGCTAGCGCTCTCTGATGTATAGAGAGTCCGGAGGTTGGGAGTGAGAGGGAGAGGGAGAGATAGAGAGAGGGATTGAAGTGGTAACCCTCCAACTGAGCTTATAGACTACAAAGTTCATCCCTATGTGTATAAAGAAGGATAGATTCCCACCCTATATATATGAAGGATATTAGTATGTATACATAAGCGAATTAAAAGGTTCACGGCGTAATACCTAGTTCATCAGAGAACTTCTAGCCTTCAAAAATGTTTTGATTCAATTCTACACCCATCTCCTTTGCCATCTTTTGCATTTGTGCCTCTATATCGTCTTCCATGCCCCCTCCGCGGCCTAGAAATTGCCTCAACTTGCTCACGTAAAACCAAATATCGGAGCTCAAGAGCACGAGCTTGAAGACGACATGACGGCCATAGTTGCGTATCTTTTCGGTTAATGACAGGTCCGGGATTTCTACCAGTGCGCGGGAAGCCCAGATGCCGGTAATCTTGATGCGGTTAACAGGAGAGCCCAGATATTGATTGTTTGCTTGAACAATGCGGAAATTGCGGGAAATAAAAATTAGCTCTCGAGGCCACTTGGTTTCGTCACCAAGGACACCTCGTGCTGCTTTTCGCATGGCTTGCTGCATTTCAAAATGTCTATGGGCTTTTTCCTTTTTGCTAAGCCCCTCTATACCTTTAAAGGTAGAAAGATCGCCACCACGATATGGTCGCATCAACGTTGCAGAGGCAAAAATGTCGGTGTTGGTAACGCCCCAACCTCGTACTATTTTATGTAAGGTTGAATTGTCGAAAGTGAGGAGAGCCTTCCAAAACTGGGCATATTCGTGTCGGAATTTGGGCTCCATATGAATATAGAGGCCATGATCAATCAGGACAAGTTCAGCTTGTCCGGACGGGCGACGGCGCACTAGGACATTGCCAGGGTGAGGGTCACAGTGTAGCCAACCCCAAAGGAAGATCTGAGCGGAAAAGAGATCAACCATAGTCGTCATGACCTCTTTCAGCGAAAGTCCGAGGCCCCCATGCCCATTTCTTCCCTTCCAATGGTCGCGGATTGGCTTAAGATTTTCGTGCTGTTTCTCGTACCTGTCACGAGAAGCAGCGGCGTGAAAAGGTGCTGAGTAGCCTTCTCCGGAGGGAGGGTCAAGAGGGGTTCCATGGCATCCCGGGCTGCCTTGCCGCCATCCGCCTCGCCACGGACGTGTGATTCCATGTTTGTCCCATAGCTTGACACCCTCAATCCATTCGGCAGTCATCACCCGTTTGGAGCTCAGTTCACGGTAAACTTTGGGTATATACACCCGGCGGCGGAGGCGTGGTTCAGCGGCGACTAGCTTTGCCATTCTCTCGGAATTATTGGCTTCGTTTTCAAAATCTGTTTCCAAGTACAAACGTTCGCTAACGAATGGAATGAGGCTGTAGAAAGGAATGTCAAAAACTCGGCTATAAATATAGGTTACTACCCTATATAATTGTGATTCACTCACCAGTTAGCAGGGGGTAACGGTTCTGAAGAAGAGAAAAAAAGAAATTCGAACGGATGGCAAAGGAGGCAATCCAGGTCATCCCCGTCACCCAGATAGTGTGAATGGAATGCGTGAGGTAAGAGAAGAGGAAAGAAAGGGGACAAAACGTACTTGAAAGCCCATAAATCCCACTTCACCTGCTGAGCAATTTCTTTCTTTTGGACTTTTATAGCAACCTCTCTTCCGTCTGGCAGCCTTGCCCAGTGCACCTGAGCGACGCTCGCACTCGCCCTTGCATTTCGCTCCATTACGCCACTGCCACTTTCTGAATTTCCATCAAAGGATATGCCGAAGACCTCGTCGACAGGGCGGCCAAAGTCCTCCTCTATCACGCGAGCGACGTCTTTCCAGTCATTTTGTGGGGCGTCATCGAACATGCGAGCAAACATTCTCTGGAACTCGGGCGGTAGGATGGCAGATTGCATAGCAATGGCCTGCCCAATTTTCAAATACAGGCCACCGTTGGCGCGGAGCAAGGAGGATAATCGATCGGCGTTTCTGGCATGTACGGCAGCTATGGACTCAGCGAAAGGCGGGTTGGGGCGAAAGTTGATTTTGTAGTCGAGGGCAACAAGCATGCCAAGCGCAAAGGTACAGGTCGTGCGAGTTAAGGAAGAGGCATAGAACCATCTGTCAATCCCGTAGACAACGCCCCCACCGAGGGAGACATAGAAGAGCCGGCGCAACCATTTTCGGGTGCCAGGGTATGTTCTCACGATGCCAGGTTTGGAGAGAGTGCTTGGAGGAGGGAAAAAGGGCTTAAAGCGCTGGGTATGAATTCGTTTCAGGGAGAAAAAAAAATCAGGTTGCGGGAAAGCCTTCCGGGGAATAGATATTGTACAACGAAAGATCTGAGAGTTGATAGAGGGAGAGTGCATTACGTGCAGTAGTTAATAGTAGCAGATTGAGCGGCGGGCGGAGAAGAGGAGAGAAACCTAATAGCAGGGTCGCGGCATTGCTTGTTTGGCAGAGTAAAAAAAAATAAGCCGCTATATGTCGAGCTTTTGAAGCCTTGCAAACATTCTATCCATGTTAGTATTGGCTTACATCAATATATTTATATCACAGATGTCACATCATGTCATATCATATCATATCAAGATGTCAGATGTTAATGTTTGTTCAGTGGCAGAAAAGGAAAGTTTTCAATTACATAAGCATCATAACTAACGTAATCGATAAGCGAGTCGGCCACATAAGCAAGTCGGCCACTTTTCATCTCATCCCAGAACAACATCTTCATCAAAAATGTCAACCACACAAAGAAATAAAGCCTCTACTCAGGAAGGAAGGCTTCTTTTAGCCATTCAAGCATTTAAAAATGGTCAAATTTCAAGTGTATGAGCTGCAGCAAAGCTGTATGATGTTCCACATTCCACCCTAGGTGATCAGATACATGGTCATACAGCACATGTTAACACTCCCCCAAAGAACTGGAAACTTAGTCTTACAGAGGAAGAATCTCTTGTTCAATGAATTCTGGCCATGGATGAATGAGGTCAGCCTCCCTGGGTTGCAGCTGTACAAGAAATGGCCAACCTTCTTCTTGCCAGCTGAGAATTCAATTGTTAGGCTCAGCGCCAGGGCTCGGCGCCGGGGGGGCCTAGGTTTATCTCCATCACGTGACCACGTGATGGCGCCCCACATGTAACTGTGGGATGGTTGAACCTTCTATTCGGAGGAGCTAGCTAGGTTATTGCTATATTACATACAAGCGATCACGTGTGGGTGGGGCGGTCGCTAGGGCAACGCCACCCAGGCGGGCACTGCTACACCCCCCCTCGCATCGCCATGCGGGATCTCGAATGCCATATGCAAAAAAGGAAAAACTAGCTATGCCATCCTCAAATCCATTCAAATCATGCTACATACATTAAGTTTTGACATTCCTGCCTTTTCTGCCTGTAAAACCAAGTAAATCAAGGAATTGTTGAAATGTCATTGTGTTCAGAGATTTAGTCAATCTGTCTGCTATCATTTCTTCAATTGAAATATATTCAATCAAAATAATGTCATTGTTCAATTGACTACAGGTGTAATGGAATCATGTGTCAATATGCTTGCTCCTAGCAGTGATCACAGCTACAGTGACTAGATTGATCACATCTTTATTATCTATCTTGATTGACAGGGAGTCATTTGCTATAAAGCTCAGATTCATCATTATGCTTCTTAACTATATTATTTTATGTATGATCTCACTCAATGTCATATATTCAATCTCATTAGAACTCAAAGAGATGCATGACTGCTTGCTTGATCACCATGAAATTGATGCACTGATAAGCATAAAAATGTAGCTGAACATAGACTTTCAATCATCATTCAACAGATCAGTTCAGTCAGAATCTATGTATTCAATTGACATATATATCACATTCAGGAACTCATTCTCAGGTCCTTCATCATCATCATTCTTCATGTAAAATATGCTGATTTCACATGTGTCTTTCAAATATTGAATGATATATAATAGAATCTTTCATGTTTTAAGAGTAGAGGCAGCATTCTTCTGTATCAATAGAGAAGCTGTGCAGGTGATATTCAGCTGCAGTTTAACTGTCAAATACTGCAAGCAGTCAATGCTGTGTTGAAATTGCTGTTTTGTAAAACCAGTCTCTTTTTCAGAAACAGAGAAGTTATTCAAATATAGACTCTCATCTATGAGTGTTCAGATAGTAGTTACATCATCCAGGTGAAAATCTTCTATCAATCAATTGATATAACATCAGAGGATCAATTCAATGCTGTCATTCATACATTTTACTTTCATATTTAGATATTTTGTGAGTTCATTCAAATCTTTGATCTCAAGCTTCTGATGCAGAACATCAACTAGTCAATCAGCATCCTTCAAAGTGTTCATAAATATATGAAGATTGTCAACATATATGATCATATAGAGATATTTTTGAGCTGAATGCTGTCAAAGAATAAGATCATAAGAACTTAGAGTAAAGCTGTTCTTCTATAGCAGAGTCATCAAGTAATCATATCATATTTTAACAGCTGAATTCAATCTGTATAGGAATTCTTCAACTGCACAAACAAGCATACATGAAGCTCCTTCTTTGAAGTCAGTAGATTGTCTTATATAGACTGTTTTTTCAAGTCTTTCATGTAAGTATATTATCACTATATTCACCTGCTGTAGGATCTAACTGTGTTTTGTGACCATTATAAATATCATGTGATTCATGATATCTGTAACTACAAGGATATATGTTTCTTGACATATTCTTTTCTTGAGTCAATTGCTGCAAATTACTTATCTGAACTTCTGCAATATATCATTTTCATTAGTATTAAGGTTACTGAAATGATTCTTTTTGACAAAGACTCAGCAGCTAAGTGCCATCAGCTTGCTGTGAGGAACATCAGAATGTGAAATTAATGTTCAAGTCTTCTGATATTCAAGATTATCAATTTCATGTTGCATAGATTTCCTTCAATATAATCTCATCTGCAGATGATTAATCATATCCTTGAAGCTTTTCAGCAAGTCACCTGTAATTAAGGAAGGTGTGTATATCATGAAGGCTTTCACAAACCTCATTCATGAAATATGTGATTTCAAAAAATTAAGAACATCAGAATCATCCTCCATCAAATAGATGATAGAAGTTGGGGTATTTTCAACTTCAATTATCATGATAGTGATGAAATCCTTTTGTATTTCTTATACTTTTGTAGAGAAAACTATGTCAGATGTATCAATAATCTTATCAGAGATAGGACTTCACATGCAATAGATTGAGCTGTGAAATTTAATAAGTTTGCATAATTTAGTCTGAGTGGACAGCTTATTCACTAGCTTCTGCAATTCATGAAGATGGACAAAAACATCAGATCTAAGCTCATAAAAGTGAATGATCTATAGTGACACATTCATCAATACTGAAAAAGAAATTATATGAGGACTACAGATAAGCTCCTTGCTATCATCATTTATGATTGAAGGCTAATACTTTTCATTATATAAGATTGTAGATGTGAGTGTATTATTCATGATTAAAATAACTATTTTTAGAATATTTGCTCAGAACTTCTTTAGAATTTTCTTTTCTATAATAATTGCTCTGACTCATATCATAATGAGGTGGATGCCATGTTCAGATACACTGTCTTGATGAGATGATTGAGAGATAGTTGATTCTCACACTGTGCTATCAGCAATCATTAATGTTGTCATTTTTTGTGATCAAAAAACTCTGTCTACATTTGTCCTGATGTAGGCAAGGGCTGAAAAACTAAAATTATTAATAAACTTAACTCAATGAGAATAATAATCAAATGCTTGATCTTTACTATATAAGAAATAGATTCATCCGAATCATATCACATCATCTGTGATTAATATGAAATATTTTATGTCTTAGTGAGATTCTATAGAATGATCATCTGTATCACTCAATGTGCAGTTATCACTCATCAAATTAATATAGATCTGTTTTATTGGCCTTATAGCTTATAGTATGAGAATGATTAAGTATTTACACATCATACCTGCTTTGACACAGGTGTTGCAAAAGAAACTAGTCTTGAGACTTTTGATGCAAATACTGAATAGTGAATTCTTTATCAAAGCTATAATGACTCCTGTGTGTATATGCCTCAGGTCAACATACTACTCAGCAAGTGTTCTTACAGCTGTAGATGATTCTTGAGATTGGGATTGAGCATTAACAAGATCATTGTCACCAGTGATGGCCAAGGTCTTAGCATAATCATTATCATATATATGTGATTTTGCTGTGAAATAGATTGCTTTTGACTCATGATAAGTATCAATTTCTGACATTCTTTCAACTATTTTATAAATTGAACTCTGAGCTGTGTGAATCATGGTGAAAATAACATCATTGAGAGCCTTGATGATGAAGTAGGACAGAGTGTTCAAATTTGAAAGTTCATATTGAAAATTCTGATTCTTCAACTTAGTAAAAGACACTAAGTTGACAGTAAGATTTAGAATATAATGAACATCACATATAGATATATCCTCTTCATCAGATTCTAGAATGAGATTTTCAATCTCTTTGATATGATCATATCTACCATCTGCTATATGAATCTTAAGATCACTGTTATAGATTTTCTGTTAAATAATAGACTACTTTTCCCTCATCATATGAAAACTTATACATATGTTGAGAAATCAAAACTTGAAGATAATGTCAGTGATTGCTGACAGAGCAATCACAGTGTTGATAGCAGTAAATTATGTAACTAGAAAATCAGAAGATTTATTCTTTTCATCATTCTTATTCTTTTTTTTACTCTTTCATTTATTGCAACTGCTGATGTTACTATTTTTCATGAACTTGACAATTTTGTTTTTATTTGTCTCTCTCCACTCTTCAATGACAAGTTCAGAGTGTAATCATCAACAAGAGTTTTTAACATATTGATTTAAGTGACAGATCTCACATTTGAAACTATTCAAATTTGTGATGTCAGATGAGTTGAAGTTTACATGAAAAAGATAGCTGCATTAGCTCATAAAGGTTTGAGACATTTGTTGAACATGCTCATATAATTTGTTAACTACTTCATGAGATCATTAATGTCAATATTTTCAATAGAATCTTGATCAGTCATATAGAAATCATTCAAATGCATCTTAACAAAAGACTTTTGATGTTCTTTCAAATTAATAAGGAAAAGATCATGATAGAAGTCCTCTAAGTCATTCATCAGTTTCTTATAATGTGCAACTAAGTAGTGAAATCTTCTTTAAAATGCCAAATAATCATTGTTGATGTGTAGTATAGTCAGCTTCTTCATAACATTGAGATGTTCTTCTGTCAAAGACACTGTATATTCAACATCAATCTTTTCTCATAACATGGTAGCATTGTTGGGTTCCAAGACTTCAATGATTGTATGTACAGGTCTCAATAAAAATTGTAATATACATTGATAGAGTTTTTTGATTCAAATATTTCATTTTTCAGTGTTCAACATGTTTTGACTAATATCATCTGAACAGACATATTGATTCTTGATTAGAATGTCAGTTTCACTGATGACTTTGACATCCACAAGAATTTCTATATGTCAGATTTGATAATTAGTGTCATCAAATGTAGTTATAGCCTTACTATCTATAGCTCTTTGGACATTCTTTTGATATTCACAGATCTGAGATTTGAAATCATCTGCAGAGATATCATTATTGATATTTGAAGCATTCTGATGTGTCATTTGTTGACAAAAGATCAATAAATCTGCTACACTCATTGTAATCATATCAATTGCATTAAAAGTAGGCATTTGAGGCTGAAGGCTTGGGGTTCTTTCACTAGCTGCTGTGAATTCATGTATAGACTCAGAAGCAGATGTTTCATCAGACTCACAGCTTGATGAATTTATGAAGTGATTTGAACTTGATTTCTGCTCTGAGTCTTCTAATTCTTCATTCTCATCTAGTGATGAGAATGCTCCAACAGCTCTAGAATGTGATCATAAAGATTGCTTTCTCTCTGTTAAAGAGGTAGATAGTTCAGTTATTAGATTAGAGAGTGAACTCATCCAGACATGTACACAGCAGTTCTTAACATGATTTTTATTAAAAACCAGCTATCCAGGCTATAACCTGTGGGATGGTTGCACCTTCTATTCGGAGGAGCTAGCTAGGTTATTGCTATATTACATACAAGCGATCACGTGTGGGCGGGGCGGTCGCTAGGGCAACGCCACCCAGGCGGGCGCCACTACAGTAACCCAGTGGACCAGTATGATCCGGTCACGTGATCACGTGAATTATTTACCATATGTCACATGACCACGTGGGCTGTTTATAATCTAAGCAGACCCTGACATCTTTTTTCCTCATCAATCTTAGTATTTCATTATATAGCAATTAGCAACGCAGAGAGATCTATCTTAGACAGCTCACATTCACTCTCTAACATAATACTAAGGTTCCCTTCTACCTTTCACTCAGCTTTCAGTAGAAAACTCAAATGTTTCAGTTGAATTAGAATCTGTCTGTTGAGAATTTGACAGTATGTCTGATCAGCTGTTGAAGAAAATAGTATAATCTGACATCAGATGATCATCACAGACTTCTAACTTCTTGAAAGGGGCTAAAAGAACTGGTGATATCTTATAACAAGATCAATTAATCAATCACATATCTCAATTGAGAAATTCAAAAAAGTAGTTCACTTAGACAGTGATTGTATTTATAATGAATTGACAGTAATCTTTAATGACATCTTTGATGATGAAAAGATATTGAGAGATACAATCACATGTCTGAGAATGAAACAAAATAATATTACTAATCAGACTGCTGTCAAGCAGAGTCAGATTGATGAGTTAATTGCTGAACATAATGAACTTAGTCACACTCTAATCTGTATAACAGTCAGCAATCAAACAGTAAGTTGAGATGTCATCTTCTCTGAGACTTTCAAAAGATCTGTCAAAATTGATAACTCAAAATATCTTACTGACAGCAAGAAATTAAAATTTGAACACTAGCTCTCTCAGATGAAAAACAAGCTTCAAGAGAATATCAATCACTACCTCACTGAGTGTATGAGAATTGCATGCATTGAAAATCAGACTGATGAAAATGTGATATATCATATTGTATTCTGTATGAAAGAGAACTACTTTGAGCAATATCAGACTATAGAAGAGATATTTAAGCATCTCAAGTTAATATATAAGAATGCTAACAAGCTGTATAATGTTAAAAGTGATTATCACAAGCTGATTATGCACAATGAGAACAACTATTATGAATTTATTACAAAATTCTTACATCTAACAGATGAGGTTAAGATTATCAAAAAAGACTATAAAATAGACTTCAATGACAAATTATTCTTTGATCTTCAGAGAATGATAGTAGTAGTTAATATAATTATCAATATATACTCTGAGTTTCAGAAAATATATACTTAGACAGCTTATACTTTTCAGATAATCAATGTTACTCAGAGATCAAATAGCTTGTGAGAAAATGAATCTAATATCTTCAAGTTGAACATCTTACAGATCTTCAATAGTCAGACTCTCCTCAGCACTTTTGCTATAAAATTTCTCATTATCATTAAAAAAGTCTCAGACATCTGTTCAGACATTCAGTGTTACTACTGCAAGAAGAAAGATTATATTGCAAGAAACTATTTCATGAAGCAGAAGTCTTAACAAATAATCACTAAGCTCATAGAAAGTGATATTTTTGAGTCTTTAGCAGATTTGAGAAAAAAGTAAGTCTGAAAGAAGACTTCATTTCAGATAGTTTAATAGTCTATTAGAGATTTGAGATGAAGGACTTAATTAAAAGAAAAAGCTTTAATATACTAATTAAATTAGTCTATAATAAAATTGCTACTTTTACAAATTCTCTTACTGATATTAAAGCAAATAATATAAATTTTATTAATATCTGATATGTTATAGAGTTGATGAGATTCTTCAATAGAAAGTTTCAAGAACTCTTATTCAAATGTCACATAAAGGAATATAATAATGCTTCTGATAAAGTAATAGACTATACATTGATTCTAAATCTCTGAATAAATAACTGAAGATTTCAGAATGTTCCTCTGCTGATAACAGATTTAGATCAGCATTTTATTATATTAGAATGAAAATGATTAACAGCACAGGATATATAACTTGATGTAAAAAATCAACACCTGGTTTAATCAAATAGATGATTCATTTCTGAACAGATAGTAGAGCTGATGTTGAAGATGATACCTGAGTCAATACTGAAGCATTCAGACTCTAAGTCTGAGCACCAAGTACCAAGTAGATATAAAATAAAGAGAGATCAAACTAAAAAACAAGATTAGACAGAAGTATTAGACTCAGCTCTATGAATTGAAAGGGATCAGTTTAGTCATGATACTCAAGACAAGGCAGAGACTGACCTGGGAGAAGACGGTATCACAGATGATGAATATGAACTTCATTAAGACTATTTTCTTTCATTATTATATGAAGAACAAGTGCTTAACAGTCTTCATAACCAGTTTGTATGAAATTGATAGATAGCTTGAGGAGAAGTGAGATTTAGTGAGAGCTGAGAATGAGTCTGATAAGAAGCTGATTAACAATTTATCAGAATGATTAAAAGACTAAGAGAACTATTTCTTAAAAAAAGCATCAGATAAATTATTTCCTCTATAAAAAAATATTAATTTTAAAATAGAGCTTCAGTTTGATGTGAATCTCATTCAGAGCATTGAATATATATATCTATATAAGATGAATCTACAGAAGCTAAAGGTAGTGAAAACCTATCTTGAAGTTAATCTAGCAAAGGACTTTATCACTTAAGTTCAATCCTCTACATCTCTTCAATTCTGATTGTCTGTAGTGAGAAGAAGTTATAATTCTGTGTTGACTTTTACAAGCTGAATGCTATAATCAAACAAGATTAATATCTTCTACTTCTAATATATGAGCTGATAGACTGACTCAACAGAGCAAAATCCTTTACAAAGCTGAACATTTGGCAGAGGTTTCATTACATCTGAATGAACTCTGAGTCTGAGGACCTAATCATCTTTAGAACCTGTTATGAGATCTATAAATACTGAGTGATTCTCTTTGATCTTATAAATACTTCTATCTGCTTTCAATGATTTATTAACAATATCTTCTTTAACTATCTAAATAAATTTACAACAGTATTCATGAATGATCTTCTGATCTATAGTAAGAATCTAAAAGAGCACAAGCAGTAGATAAATTCAGTGCTAGACTGACTAAAGACAGCTGATTTGCAAATCAGTATTCAGAAATGTGAGATTGTAGTTCAGAGAACAAAATATCTAGAGTTTATCATCAGCACAAAAGAGATTAAGATAGACTCAGAGAAGACAGCTATTATTGTGAGATAACAGATTCTCATCACAGTTAAAGAAGTTTAGTCATTTTTAGAATTTAATAATTTCTATCAATGATTTATAAGAAACTATAGCTGAATTGCAAAATCACTATACCAGTTGACAAAGAAGACTATCTTATTTGTGTGAACATCAGAATGCAAATCAGTCTTTGAAAAACTAAAGAAATAGCTAATAAAGACTTCAACACTATATTACTATGACTCTGAGCAGAAGATTCATATTGAGACTGACATCTCTGACAGAGTAGTAGTTGAGATACTAAGTCAAAGATTTGAAAATAATCTTTGACACTGAGTAGTCTTCTATTCAAAATCAATAAATGATGTAGAGTTTAATTATAAAGTTCATGATAAGAAAATACTAATAGTGGTTCAAATCTTACAAGAATGATGAGCAGAGCTTGAGAGACTACAATGAGAGAAATGATTCAAGATTCTCACTGATCATTGTGTACTAAAATACTTCATAACTATTAAAAAGCTGAATGCATATCAAGTCCACTGAGTAGAGTTTCTTTTTCATTTCTACTTTGAGATCAAGTATCAACCAGGTAAGGTCAATCTGCTAGCAGATGCACTGAGCAGGCTTGAGCAAATTAGAAGGCAACAGAACAGCTGTATACAGATTCTCCTATAATCAAAGACTCTTGACTCTCAGATCACTTCTTCTATGAATATTACTAGCATCAACTTCTTAGAGAAAGAGAATATTGCTAAATGCATAGTGTTTTTAAATAAGACAGCCATCTTAATTGAGCCTTTGTGATAGCAGACAGATGATGAGAATAATCTCTATATAATGAAAAATAATATACTACAGTACAATGAAAGACTAGTGATATCTGTTTAGAAAAAAAAAACTCTAATAGCTAAGCTATTGCAGAAAATTTATGATCAAGCTTTAACAGTATATTCTGAAAAATGAAAAACTCTGATTCTGATGCAATTATACTATTGATGAGTCATCTGATAAACAGATGTTCTATATTACATTTGAAACTATCATGTATACTGAATTAGTAAAATTTCAAGAGATAAAACTTCTGATTTGCTAAAGTTATTATCAATATCAGAATGAGCATGACAGCATATTGCAATGAACTTTATAAATGTATTAAAAAGCAAAATAGATTATAATATCATTTTGATTATAATATATCAGCTAAGAAAGAAAATAATTTTCATTTCAATCACTCAGGAAGTTACAGTCTAAGAGCTGATCTGATTATTCATTTAATTCTACTATTCATACAATGAGATATCTGACTCAATTGTCTCTGACTGAGATTCTCAGTTTTTATCAAGTTTTTGAGATGAGTTTACACAGATTCTGAGCATAAAACTGAAACTTTCAACAGCACATCATGCACAAACTAATAGATAGATAGAAGTGATGAATCAATACATTGTCACTCATCTTTACCTCTATGTCAGTTACTATCAAGATGACTAAAATGAGTAACTGCTCATTATAGATCATGCCTTCATAGCTACTTCAAATACTTTTATAGAGATCTTTTTCTTTCTCATAGTAAATAAATATAAATTATGAATATTATTTGACTGATAATCACTGATGAAGAAATTGAACATGAATGAGAAAAGAAATTAAAAGACAACAAGAAGCTTTATTCACTAAATAAAAGAGATCTGAAATTAGACAAGCAAAAGTATAAGAATAGC